AATAAGGAAAACATTAAACAAGAATGGAGTACATGGGAGGACACCACGGAGGAAGCCATTGCTGTCCAAAAAGAATATTGCAGCACGTTTGAAGTTTGCAAAAGAGCACCTGGATGTTCCACAGCACTACTGGCAGAATATACTGTGGACAGATGAAACCAAGATTGAGTTGTTTGGGAAGAACACACAACACTATGTGTGGAGAAAAAAAGGCCCAGCACACCAACATCAAAACCTCATCCCCACTGTGAAGCATGGCGGAGGGAGCATCATGGTTTGGAGCTGCTTTGCTGCCTCAGGGCCTGGATGGATTGTTGTCATTGATGGGAAAATGAATTCCAGAGTTTATCAAGACATTTTGCAGGAAAACGTACGACCATCTGCTCGCCAACTGAAGCTCCACAGAGGATGGGTGATGCAACAGGACAATGACCCAAAGCATACAAGTCATTCAACAAAACAATGGCTGCAACAGCACAGAATACGCCTTCTGGAGTGGCCCAGTCAGAGTCCTGACCTCAACCCGATTGAAATGCTGTGGCATAACCTTAAGAGAGCGATTCACACCAGACATCCCAAAAATATTGCTACACTGAAACAGTTTTGTGAAGAGGAGTGGTCCAAAATGACTCCAGATCGTTGTGCAGGTCTGATCTGCAACTACAGGAAACGTTTGGTTGAGGTTATTGCTGCCAAAGGAGGGTCAACCAGTTATTAAGTCCAAAGGTTCACATACTTTTTCCTCCCTGCACTCTGAATGTTTACATGTTATGTGCAATTAAACCATGGCAACATCTAATGTTTGTGTAGTATTATGTTCAGCAGACTGTGTTCTTCTATTGTTGTGACTTAGATGACGTTCAGAGCACATTTTATGCCCAATTCATGCAAAACTCCACGTTATCCCAAGGGGTTCACATACTTTTTCTTGCAACTGCATATATACAGTCAGGTCCATAAATATTGGGACATGGACACAATTCTAACATTTTTGGCTCTATACACCACCACAATGGATTTGAAATGAAACAAACAAGATGTGCTTTAACTGCAGACTGTCAGCTTTAATTTGAGGGTATTTACATCCAAATCAGGTGAACGGTGTAGGAATGACAACAGTTTGCATAGGTGCCTCCCACTTGTTAAGGAACCAAAAGTAATGGGACAGAATAATAATCATAAATCAAACTTTCACTTTTTAATACTTGGTTACAAATCCTTTCCAGCCAATGACAGCCTGAAGTGTGGAACGCATAGACATCACCAGACGCTGGGTGTCATCCCTGGTGATGCTCTGCCAGGCCTCTACTGCAACTGTCTTCAGTTCCTGCTTGTTCTTGGGGCATTTTCCCTTCAGTTTTGTCTTCAGCAAGTGAAATGCTCAATCGGATTCAGGTCAGGTGATGGACTTGGCCATTGCAGAACATTCCACTTCTTTGGTGTCTTTTGCAGTCTGCTTTGGGTCATTGTCCATCTGCACTGTGAAGCGTCCAATGAGTTGTGAAGCATTTGGCTGAATATGAGCCGATAATATTCCCGAAACACTTCACAATTCATCCGGCTGCTTCTGTCAGCAGTCACATCATCAATAAATACAAGAGAAGCAGTTCCATTGGCAGCCATACATGCCCACGCCATGACACTACCACCACCATGATCACTGATGAGGTGGTATGCTGAGGATCATGAGCAGTTCCTTCTCCATCCTCTTCTCTTCCCATCACTCTGGTACAAGTTGATGTCGGTCTCATCTGTCCATAGGATGTTGTTCCAGAACTGTGAAGGCTTTTTTTACATGTTGTTTGGCAAACTCTAATCTGGCCTTCCTGTTTTTGAGGCTCACCAATGGTTTCGATCTTGTGGTGAACCCTCTGTATTCACTCTGGTGAAGTCTTCTCTTGATTGGTGACTTTGACACACATGCACCTACCTCCTGGAGAGTGTTCTTGATCTGGCCAACTGTTGTGAAGGGTGTTTTTCTTCACCAGGGAAAGAATTCTTCGCTCATCCACCACAGTTGTTTTCCGTGGTCTTCCGGGTCTTTTGGTGTTGCAGAGCTCACGGTGCGTTCCTTCTTTTTAAGAATGTTCCAAACAGTTGTTTTGGCCACGCCTAATGTTTTTGCTATCTCTCTGATGGGTTTGTTTTGTTTTTTCAGCCTAATGATGGCTTCACTGATAGTGACAGCTCTTTGGGTCTCATCTTGAGAGTTGACAGCAACAGATTCCAAATGCAAATAGCACACTTGAAATGAACTCTGGACCTTTTATCTGCTCATTGTAATTGGGATAATGAGGGAAAAACACACACCTGGCCATGGAACAGCTGAGAAGCCAATTGTCCCATTACTTTTGGTCCCTTAACAAGTGGGAGGCACATATGCAAACTGTTGTAATTTCTACACCGTTCACCTGATTTGGATGTAAATACCCTCAAATTAAAGCCGACAGTCTGCAGTTAAAGCAAATCTTGTTCCTTTCATTTCAAATCCATTGTGGTGTATAGAGCCAAAAATGTTAGAATTGTGTCGCTGTCCCAATATTTATGGACCTGACTGTATATATATATATATATATATATATATTTATTATGTTGAAATGCATTTTTATTACAAAGTATATGAAAAATATTTTTAAAAATAAATTTTCATTTGTTTTAAATATATTCTTCAGATTTTTTTTTAACATATAAAAGAGTAATTTTAATATGGCCGTGCTTCGCAGCTGAAGACAGTGGGAGGGGCTGAATAGCTTAGCAAAAGAAAAAAGGGCAGGGCTGACACCACTCAGTCCATAAAAAATGCCGGGTGTTGTCAGCCCACAGCAGGAAATTACATGCTGAGCGCGCTTCTGGCAGATCATCAGTTATTTCTTTGTACCTGCAGAGTATTCCCACATGGAAGAAAAATACATTTGAAATGTATTTAAAAAATATTCTTCCCAAATATATTGACATATATTTGAAATGCTACAATTTTGGCCGTAATCAATATATCCAATATATATACATAGGAAACCACGTTTCGGTTTACGAATGTTTGCGCATTAAATTGGTAATCCGAGGTACGCCGGTACTTACATCTAAAAGGTACTAAAACTAAACCAAAAGAAACTGATGAATGTCACGGGGGCAGCTAATCTGGCTGCAATATAAGGTGGAACTCCGCTTTCATATAAATACTATCAATGTGCAATGGTGTGCTGGGGGGTGCGGTCTGCTCCAGGTGCGCAGTTCCTGGGGGTTCCACAGCCGTCTGCCATTTCTTTTTTTTTGTGGGGGGGGGTATTTTCTTTGCTGAGGGGTCTGTAAATGGGAAGGGGGGGGCTAATTCTGAGGGGTCTGTACTGAGGGACAGGGAATGGGGGTGTCTATGCTGAGAAGTCTATACTGGGATTGGGGGCAGCAGGGGGGATTGTCTTTGCTGAGGGGTCTGTAAATGGGAAGGGGGGGTTACCATTGAGGGGTCTGTACTGAGGGACAGGGAATGGGGGTGTCTATGCTGAGAGGTCTGTACTGGGATTGGGGGCAGCGGGGGGGATTGTCTTTGCTGAGGGGTCTGTAAATGGGAAGGGGGGGTTACCATTGAGGGGTCTGTACTGAGGGACAGGGAATGGGGGTGTCTATGCTGAGAGGTCTGTACTGGGATTGGGGGCAGCGGGGGGGGATTGTCTTTGCTGAGGGGTCTGTAAATGGGAAGGGGGAGTTTACTACTGAAGGGTCTGTAAATAGGAAGGGGGTTTACTACTGAGGGGTCTGTACTGAGGGACAGGGAATGGGGGTGTCTATGCTAAGAGGTCGGTACTGGGATTGGGAGGGGGGGTTGTCTTCGCTGAGGGGTCTGTAATGAGGGACAGGGAATGGGGGTGTCTATGCTGAGAAGTCTATACTGGGATTGGGGGCAGCAGGGGGGATTGTCTTTGCTGAGGGGTCTGTAAATGGGAAGGGGGGGTTACCATTGAGGGGTCTGTACTGAGGGAAAGGGAATGGGGGTGTCTATGCTGAGAGGTCTGTACTGGGATTGGGGGCAGCGGGGGGGGGATTGTCTTTGCTGAGGGGTCTGTAAATGGGAAGGGGGGTTACTACTTAGGGGTCTGTAAGGAGGGACAGGGAATGGGGGTGTCTATGCTAAGAGGTCTGTACTGGGATTGGGGGAGGGGGGAGTTGTGTTTGCTGAGGGGTCTGTAAATGGAAAGGGGGGGTTTCTACTTAGGGGTCAGTAATGAGGGACAGGGAATGGGAGTGTCTATGCTGAGAGGTCTGTACTGAGATTGGGGGGGTTGTCTTTGCTGAGGGGTCTGTAAATGGGAAGGGGGGTTTCTACTGAGGGGTCAGTAATGAGGGACAGGGAATGGGGGTGTCTATGCTAAGAGGTCTGTACTGGGATTGGGGGGGGGGGGGGGGGGAAGGTGAGTTGTCTTTGTTGAGGGGTCTGTAAATGGGAAGGGGGGGGGTTTCTACTGAGGGGTCAGTAATGAGGGACAGGGAATGGGGGTGTCTATGCTGAGAGGTCTGAACTTGGATTGGGGCAGGGGGGAGTTGTCTTTGCTGAGGGGTCTGTAAATGGGAAGGGGGGGCGTCTGTACTGGGGGGGTGGGCTGGGAGAGAGAAATGTAATTCTGTGCTGGGTTGGGTCTTTGCTGAGAGTTTTGTGCTGGAGAGGGGGGGGGGGGGTTGTCTGTACTGTATTTTTGTTTAGTTTTTTTTTTTGGGGGGGGGTTTTGAAAAAAAATAATTTCCGGGTGACAGATATGCTAGGTAAGTGTTTTTATATAAAGCTATACAGCATATACACCACGATAGATGTGATTTCCCTCTGCGCAGGTATATTGGTCTGACGGATTAAAAACAATGCTCTCCCCATGTGGCCAGTTGCTGATCAGGGAGTGGCTGCAGTTAAAACAAAAAGCCACTAGAGGGAATATCTATAAATCTTTTTTTGGAAATCTGGTACAGCAAGCATGACTCTCTCCCCTGATCCATGATCTCCTCTCTTCTATTCTTCCTTCCAGATTCTGTATGACAGTCCCAAGGCTCGGCGGGAGGTGGAGTACCACACCAGAGCGTCAGGGGGGCCACATATCGTGGGTGTCCTGGATGTGTATGAGAACATTCACCGTGGCAAGAGATGCCTTCTCATCGTAATGGAGTGGTAGGTCAGACCTGAGATCACATCATTCGCCCCACACACAGAGGATATGGGGGCTCCGCCAGGTTCCAGACTCCAGTCTGCACAGTATGATAATCGGTTTATGGCGGAGCACAGAGGAGTCTGCGACGTCATCACGTCTGTGTGTTCTGCAGCATCTGGTTCAATGTTATTAGATTGTGAAATAGTAAGAAAAGCTGAAAGGGGGGGTGGGGACCGGGGGGAGGGGGGGGTCAGGATTGGGGTAACAGGTATAGGAAGATGTCACATAAGGCTCAATTCACACATTCATTATTTACAGAAATAACCGTCCACTGAAGGACACAGCATTCATGACCGGCAGCTTGGGTTATACTGCCGCCTACAGGAGAAATGTACACTATGCATATAGAAAACTGAAGGCCAGCCCCTTGAGGCATTAACTCCTCCCACTTTCCTTCCTCTGTCCAAACTTCTTTTCTTCTTCTCTTCCTTCCCACCTTCTTTCCCTCTTTATTTCCTCCCCCTCCTTTTCTCCTTCCCTTCTTCCTCCCTTATTTCCTTTCTGCATTCATCCAACCCTCCGCCTGCCTGCCTTCCTCCTCCTTTCCCTCCCTCCTCCCTTCCTTTCTTCTCTTCCCTTCCTTCTTTTTTTCCTTCCTTCCTCACTCCTTCTCTCATTCCTTTTCCCTTCCTTCCTCTCCTTCCTTCTTCACTCCTTCTCTCATTCCTTTATTGCTTCTTCCTTTACTTCCTTCCCTTCATCCTACCTTCCTCCCAATTTCCTTCCTGTCTCGTTCCGTCTTTTCTTCATTGTTCCTCCCTTCCCTACTTCCTTCCCTTCATCCTTCTCACTTCCCTCCTCCCTTCCTTCCCTCATTTCCTCCCTCCCTCCTTCCTTCTATTCCTTCCTTCTTCACTTATTTTCTCATTCCTTTAATGCTTCCTCCTTTACTTTCTCCCCTTCTTCCTTCATCCTACCTTCCTCCCACATTCCTTCCTTCCCTTCTTCCTTCATCCTACCTTCCTCCCACATTCCTTCCTTCCCTTCTTCCTTCATCCTACCTTCCTCCCACTTTCCTTCCTTCATCCTACCTTCCTCCACTTTCCTTCCTTCCCTTCTTCCTTCATCCTACCTTCCTCCCACTTTCCTTCCTTCTTCCTTCCTTCTTTCCATGCCTCCTTTCCTTTTCCCTTCCCTTACTTCCTTTCCTTCCTCTCCTTCCTTCTTCACTCCTTCTCTCATTCCTTTATTGCTTCCTCCCTTTACTTCTTTCCCTTCTTCCTTCGTCCTACCTTCCTCCCACTTTCCATTCTGTCTCCTTTCTTCTTTTCTTCATCGTTCCGCCCTTCCCTACTACCTTCCCTTCATCCTTCTCACCTTCCATCCTTCCTTCCATGCTTCCTCCCTGCTTCCCTTCTCCCTTCCTTCCTTCCCTCCCTCCTTCCTTCTTCACTCCTTTTCTCATTCCTTTATTGCTTCCTCATTTAATTTATCCCCTTCTTCCTTCATCCTACATTCCTCCCACTTTTCCTTCCTTCCTTCCTTCCTTCCTTCCTTCCTTCCTTCCTTCCTTTCCTCCTTTCCTTTTCCCTTCCTTCCCTTCCTTTCATTCCTCTTCTTCCTTCTTCACTCCTCTCATTCCTTTAATGCTTCCTCCTTTACTTTCTCCCCTTCTTCCTTCATCCTACCTTCCTCCCACTTTCCTTTCTGTCTCCTTCCTTCTTTCCTTCCTTCATCCTTCCTTCCATGCTTCCCTCCTCCCCTGCTTTCTTTCTTTCTTTCTTTCTTTCTCTCTTTCTCTCTTTCTTTCTTTCTTTCTTTCTTTTTCTCTTTCTTTCTTTCTTTCTTTCTCTCTTTCTTTCTTTCTTCCTTCCTTCCTTCCTTCCTTCCTCCTCTCCCTCCCTCCCTCCTTCCTTCCTTCCTTCCTTCCTTCCTTCCATGCTTCCCTCCTCCCCTGCTTACTTCCTTCCCACTTGTCTTCCTCCCTTCCTCCCTCCTCTTGCACCTCTCTCCCTAATCATGGTCATATCTTCTATATTTCAGCATGCAGGGAGGAGAGCTCTTCACTCGTATCCAGCAGAGAGGTGACCAGGCCTTCACAGAACGAGGTAAATAGAAGTCATGTCGCCTTATTGGAGGGTAAATCCAACTAAACTCGATATTTTATTGTTCGGTGAATGCTGGGGAAGAGGGGGGAAGGGACCCTGGACTGTCTCTTCCAGGGGCAGACTGACAACTCATGGGGCCCCCCGGGCAATAGGGGATCATGGGGCCCCTGTGTCCTTGCCCAAACTCAAAAAAGCCTATGAAAAAGGTACCAGGGGCATCTCATGGGGCCCCCTACTGACCCCGGGCCCTCGGGCAGTGCCTGAGTTTCCAAATGGTCAGTCCATCCCTGGTCTCTTCTGTATGTCAGAACTTGTAATCCACAGAGCAGGGAGAAGCTCTCTGATGGATAATCACCGGAGAAAAGAGAAGACGGTTGACTGGTCAACACAATGGTGGTCAACTCTTGTCATGTCTCCATGCAGGTATTGAGGGGGTTGCACCCCGTGCTCGGGGCCCATTCCTAAATCCACTGGAAGGACATCAGGATGATGGGGGGAAGTCGGTGTAGTCATTCAAAAAAATGTAAATGTCACCTAGGCACCCCTGAGAAGATGGCGTATTACAATATGGTGGAAAGAAGAAACGTCCCCACCAATCTCCTGTGATGCAGAGATGTTTATCAATAGCTCTGCTGACGTGTTTCGTGATGACGCGTCACTTCCTCAGGTCACTTCTTCAGGTCACTTCCTCAGGTCACTTCTTCAGGTCACTCCTTCAGGTCACTTCCTCAGGTCACTTCCTCAGGTCACTTCCTCAGGTCACTTCTTTAGGTCACTCCTTCAGGTCACTCCTTCAGGTCACTTCCTCAGGTCACTTCCTCAGGTCACTTCTTTAAGTCACTTCCTCAGGTCACTTCTTCAGGTCACTCCTTCAGGTCACTTCCTCAGGTCACTTCTTCAAGTCACTTCCTCAGGTCACTTCCTCAGGTCACTTCTTCAGGTCACTCCTTCAGGTCACTTCCTCAGGTCACTTCCTCAGGTCACTTCTTCAAGTCACTTCCTCAGGTCACTTCTTCAGGTCACTTCCTCAGGTCAGTTTTTCAGGTCACTTCCTCAGGTCACTTCCTCAGGTCACTTCCTCAGGTTACTTCTTCAAGTCACATCCTCAGGTCACTTCTTCAGGTCACTTCCTCAGGTCACTCTTTCAAGTCACTTCCTCAGGTCACTTCCTCAGGTCACTTCTTCAAGTCACTTCCTCAGGTCACTTCTTCAGGTCACTTCCTCAGGTCAGTTTTTCAGGTCACTTCCTCAGGTCACTTCCTCAGGTCACTTCTTCAGGTCACTTCCTCAGGTCACTCCTTCAGGTCACTTCCTCAGGTCACTTCCTCAGGTCACTTCCTCAGGTCAGTTTTTCTGGTCACTTCCTCAGGTCACTTCCTCAGGTCACTTCTTCAAGTCACTTCCTCAGGTCACTTCTTCAGGTCACTTCCTCAGGTCAGTTTTTCTGGTCACTTCCTCAGGTCACTTCCTCAGGTCACTCCTTCAGGTCACTTCCTCAGGTCACTTCTTCAGGTCACTTCTTCAGGTCACTTCCTCAGGTCAGTTTTTCAGGTCACTTCCTCAGATCACTTCCTCGGGTCACTTCTTCAGGTCCTTCCTCAGGTCACTTCCTCGGGTCACTTCCTCAGGTCACAGATGTGTGGGAGATTTGAAAACAGATGAAATATGGGAAAGTACAATAACCACTTGTCCTCCTGAGGATTTACCCCCCTTCCTGATCGGGCCATTTTTTGCTTCATGGCCCTGCGTTACTTTAACTGACAATTGCGCGGTCATGCAACACTGCACCCGAATGAAATTTACGTCCTTTTTTTCCCACGATTTGAGCTTTGTTTTGGTCATATTTGATCCCCCGTGTGTTTTTAATTTTGTTTGGCTATACAGTAAGCAATAAAAGACCGCCAATTTTGAGAAAAAAAATATTTTGGACTTTTTGCTATTAAACACGTCCAGTAAAAAAAATGTAAAAAAATCAAATTTCGTCATAAATTTTGGCCAAAATATATTCCGCTCCGTGTCTTCGCTAAAAAAAATCCCAATACGTGTAAATTAATTGGTTTACGTGGAAGTTATAGCGTTTACAAATGGCGGTATAGATACGGGGATTTTGCTTTCTACTAGTAATGTAATTAGTGATCAGCGACTTTTAGCGGGACAGTCTGACACTGGGGGGGGGAGGAACTAACTTGGTGTCACTGACACCCCAGTGACACCAATACAGTGATCAGTGCTAAAAAAAGCACCAACCCTGTACTAATGACACTGGACAGGAAGGGGTTAATGTGAGGGGCGATCAAAGGGTTACCTGTGTGCAGGGAGTGTTACTAGGGGGCGAGGGTGTTCTTCAGTGTAAGCACACTGATCGGGATGGCTGTACTGTGCACAGCCATCCCAAGCAGTGTGATCAAGCTGACAGGGAGCAGGGGCGGACTGACAACTTATGGGGCCCCCTGCTCTGCCCATTATGAGGAGTTCCCACCATCCCTGTGCCGAGTTCCCGGGTCTGTACGCCAGTTGTGCCTATTATAAGGAGTTCCCACCATCCCTGTGCTGAGTTCCCGGCTCTGTATGCCCGCTGTGTCCATTATGAGGGGTTCCCACCATCCCTGTGCTGAGTTCCTGGGTCTGTATGCCCGCTGTGCCCATTATGAGGGGTTCCCACCATCCCTGTGCTGAGTTCCCGGGTCTGTACGCCCGCCGTGCCCATTATGAGGGGTTCCCACCATACCTGTGCTGAGTTCCCAGGTCTGTACACCCGCTATGTCCATTATGAGGGGTTCCCACCATCCCTGTGCTGAGTTCCCGGGTCTGTACACCCGCTGTGCCCATTATGAGGGGTTCCCACCATACCTGTGCTGAGTTCCCAGGTCTGTACACCCGCTATGTCCATTATGAGGGGTTCCCACCATCCCTGTGCTGAGTTCCCAGGTCTGTACACCTGCTATGTCAATTATGAGGGGTTCCCACCATCCCTGTGCTGAGTTCCCGGGTCTGTACCCCCGCTGTGCCCATTATGAGGGGTTCCCACCATCCCTGTGCTGAGTTCCCGGGTCTGTACACCCGTTGTGCCCATTATGAGGGGTTCCCACCGTCCCTGTGCTGAGTTCCCAGGTCTGTACACCCGCTGTGCCCATTATGAGGGGTTCCCACCGTCCCTGTGCTGAGTTCCCAGGTCTGTACACCCGCTGTGCTCATTATGAGGGGTTCCCACCATCCCTGTGCTGAGTTCCCGGGTCTGTACACCCGCTGTGCCCATTATGAGGGGTTCCCACCATACCTGTGCTGAGTTCCCAGGTCTGTACACCCGCTATGTCCATTATGAGGGGTTCCCACCATCCCTGTGCTGAGTTCCCAGGTCTGTACACCCGCTATGTCAATTATGAGGGGTTCCCACCATCCCTGTGCTGAGTTCCCGGGTCTGTACCCCTGCTGTGCCCATTATGAGGGGTTCCCACCATCCCTGTGCTGAGTTCCCGGGTCTGTACACCCGTTGTGCCCATTATGAGGGGTTCCCACCGTCCCTGTGCTGAGTTCCCAGGTCTGTACACCCGCTGTGCCCATTATGAGGGGTTCCCACCGTCCCTGTGCTGAGTTCCCAGGTCTGTACACCCGCTGTGCTCATTATGAGGGGTTCCCACCATCCCTGTGCTGAGTTCCCGGGTCTGTACGCCCGCTGTGCCCATTATGAGGGGTTCCCACCATCCCTGCTGGAAATACATAGAAGTAGGTGAGGGGGTGGGGACACCCATGGCTTCTCATGTACATTGTATCTCGGTGTTAGAGCGAATCGGTCAGGAAAGCCGTTTTTCGGTCAGTTTTTTAGCTGCATTTGTATTTGTGACCCTCCAGAGGCGTCGGAGATCATGCGTGACATCGGATTGGCCATACAGCACCTCCACGCGCTGAACATCGCCCACCGAGATGTGAAGGTCAGTAGCTGTGGCCCCTGCGGTGTCCCCCATGTATCCCGGGTTGTCTGTCCCTCATATTCATCTCTGTGTCCCCCCCCAGCCTGAGAATCTCCTCTACATCTCCAAGGACAGCAACGCCGAGCTGAAGATCACAGATTTCGGCTTCTCCAAAGAAACGACTTTACAGAACGCGCTGCAGACGCCCTGCTACACGCCGTACTATGTGGGTGAGTGTGGGGGGGGGGGACACGCCGTACTATGTGGGTGAGTGTGGGGGGGGGGGACACACCTTACTATGTGTGTGAGTGTGGGGGGGGGGACACACCTTACTATGTGTGTGAGTGTGGGGGGGGGGACACACCTTACTATGTGTGTGAGTGTGGGGGGGGGACACCTTACTATGTGGGTGAGTGTGGGGGGGGGGGGGGGGGACACACCTTACTATGTGTGTGAGTGTGGGGGGGGGGGGGGACACGCCTTACTATGTGTGTGAGTGTGGGGGGGGGACACGCCGTACTATGTGGGTGAGTGTGGGGGGGGGGGACACGCTGTACTATGTGGGTGAGTGTGGGGGGGGGACACGCCGTACTATGTGGGTGAGTGGGGGGGGGGGCACATGCCGTACTATGTGGGTGAGTGTGGGGGGGGGACACACCTTACTATGTGTGTGAGTGTGGGGGGGGGACACACCTTACTATGTGTGTGAGTGTGGGGGGGGGGGGGGGACACGCCGTACTATGTGGGTGAGTGTGGGGGGGGGGACACGCCGTACTATGTGGGTGAGTGTGGGGGGGGGACACGCCGTACTATGTGGGTGAGTGGGGGGGGGCACACGCCGTACTATGTGGGTGAGTGTGGGGGGGGGGACACACGCCGTATTATGTGGGTGAGTGTGGGGGGGACACGCCGTACTATGTGGGGGTGAGTGTGGGGGGGACACGCCGTACTATGTGGGTGAGTGTTGGGGGGGACACGCCGTACTATGTGGGTGAGTGTGGGGGGGGACACGCCGTACTATGTGGGTGAGTGTGGGGGGGGACACGCCGTACTATGTGGGTGAGTGTTGGGGGGGACACGCCGTACTATGTGGGTGAGTTTGTGTGTGGGGGACACGCCGTACTATGTGGGTGAGTGTGGGGGGGGGACACGCCGTACTATGTGGGTGAGTGTGTGTGTGGGGGGGACAGGCCGTACTATGTGGGTGAGTGTGGGGGGGGGCACGCCGTACTATGTGGGTGAGTGTGGGGGGGGGACACGCCGTACTATGTGGGTGAGTGTGTGTGGGGGGGGGACAGGCCGTACTATGTGGGTGAGTGTGGCGGGGGGACAGGCCGTACTATGTGGGTGAGTGTGGCGGGGGGGGGGAGGCCGTACTATGTGGGTGAGTGTGGGGGGGGACGACGACACGCTGTACTATGTGGGTGAGTGTGGGGGGACACGCCGTACTATGTGGGTGAGTGTGGCGGGGGGGGAGGCCGTACTATGTGGGTGAGTGTGGCGGGGGGGGGGGGACAGGCCGTACTATGTGGGTGAGTGTGGCGGGGGGGGGGGACAGGCCGTACTATGTGGGTGAGTGTGGCGGGGGGGGGGGGGACACAGGCCGTACTATGTGGGTGAGTGTGGGAGGGGGACAGGTCATACTATGTGGGTGAATGAGAGGGGGGGGGAGGGAGGACCGGCCGGTCTATGGGATTGTCCCGGATTTTACAGGAGAGTGTGGCATCCTGGATGGAAGTGATGTGAGACGCAGCACGGACTGTACTGAGCAAATGGATGGCTAGCGTCCTTGGCTACTAACATGCAGGCAGCTCACTCCTGGGGGGTGCTACTGCTATGACTTGCTGCAGCTGCACCACCTCCAGCCAATGGCTGCTGTATGATCCCATCCCCCTCCCCACCCCGCCTCATGGGACTGAAAACAAGAAGAAAACACAAGTGATCTGAAACACGCAGAAGAGAAGTTGGAGTCTCATGTCTGCACTCTGAGCATTAATACTCCTGATCCCTGCACTGAGCATTACTACTCCTGATCCCTGCACTGAGCATTACTACTCCTGATCCCTGCACTGAGCATTACTACTCCTGATCCCTGCACTCTGAGCATTAATACTCCTGATCCCTGCACTGAGCATTACTACTCATGATCCCTGCACTGAGCATTACTACTCCTGATCCCTGCACTGAGCATTACTACTCCTGATCCCTGCACTGAGCATTACTACTCCTGATCCCTGCACTGTGCATTACTACTCCTGATCCCTGCACTGAGCATTACTACTCCTGATCCCTGCACTCTGTGCATTACTACTCCTGATCCCTGCACTCTGTGCATTACTACTCCTGATCCCTGCACTGAGCATTACTACTGCTGATCCCTGCACTGAGCATTACTACTCCTGATCCCTGCACTGTGCATTACTACTGCTGATCTGATCCCTGCACTGAGCATTACTACTCCTGATCCCTGCACTGAGCATTACTACTCCTGATCCCTGCACTGTGCATTACTACTCCTGATCCCTGCACTGAGCATTACTACTCCTGATCCCTGCACTCTGTGCATTACTACTCCTGATCCCTGCACTGAGCATTACTACTCCTGATCCCTGCACGGAGCATTACTACTCCTGATCCCTGCACTGAGCATTACTACTGCTGATCCCTGCACTGAGCATTACTACTGCTGATCCCTGCACTGAGAATTACTACTCCTGATCCCTGCACTCTGTGCATTACTACTCCTGATCCCTGCACTCTGTGCATTACTACTCCTGATCCCTGCACTGAGCATTACTACTCCTGATCCCTGCACTGAGCATTACTACTGCTGATCCCTGCACTGAGCATTACTACTGCTGATCCCTGCACTGAGCATTACTACTCCTGATCCCTGCACTGAGCATTACTACTGCTGATCCCTGCACTGAGCATTACTACTACTCCTGATCCCTGCACTGAGCATTACTACTCCTGATCCCTGCACTGAGCATTACTACTCATGATCCCTGCACTGTGCATTACTACTCCTGATCCCTGCACTCTGTGCATTACTACTCCTGATCCCTGCACTGAGCATTACTACTCCTGATCCCTGCACTGAGCATTACTACTCCTGATCCCTGCACTGAGCATTACTACTCCTGATCCCTGCACTGAGCATTACTACTCCTGATCCCTGCACTGAGCATTACTACTCCTGATCCCTGCACTGAGCATTACTGCTCCTTACCCTGTACACTGTGCATTACTACTCCTGATCCCTGCACTTTGTGTGTTACTACTCCCTACCCCTGTTCACTGTGCATTACTACTCCCGACCCCTGTGCTCTGTAACTTACTCCTGACATCTACACTTTGTTACTTACTTCTGACCCCTGCATTCTGTGCGTTACCTACTTCTGATCTCTGCACTCCATACATGACTTGCTCCTGACCCCTGCAATCTATTACTTACTTCTGACATCTGCACTTTGTGCATTACTTACTCCTGACCCCTGCACTCTGTTACTCCTGACATCCTAACATTTGCACTCTGTTACTTACACCTGACCTCAGTATGTTATTTACACCTGACCCCTGAAGTCTGTGTGTTACCACCCCTGACCCCTGCAGTCTGTGTGTTACTTGCTCCTGACCTCTGCACTTTGTTACTATTCCTTTCTCCTGCATGTTGTATGTTACTTACGCCTGACGCCTGCATGCTGTGTGTTACTTACCCCTGACGCCTGCATACTGTGTGTTACTCACTCCTGACCTCTGCACGTTGTGTGTTATTTCACTCCTGCATGCTGTGTGCTACTCACTCCTGACGCCCTGCACACTGTGTGTTACTTACCCCTGACCCCTGCACACTGTGTGTTACTTACTCCTGACCCTGCACACTGTGTGTTACTTACCCCTGACCCCTGCACACTGTGTGTTACTTACCCCTGACGCCTGCACACTGTGTGTTACTTACCCCTGACCCCTGCACACTGTGTGTTACTTACCCCTGACCCCTGCACACTGTGTGTTACTTACCCCTGACCCCTGCACACTGTGTGTTACTTACCCCTGACCCCTGCACACTGTGTGTTACTTACCCCTGACCCCTGCACACTGTGTGTTACTTACTCCTGACCCTGCACACTGTGTGTTACTCACTTCTGACCACTGCACACTGTGTGTTACTTACTCCTGACCCTGCATGCTGTGTGTTACTCACTCCTGACCCTGCATGCTGTGTGTTACTTACTCCTGACCCTGCACACTGTGTGTTACTCACTCCTGACGCTGCATGCTGTGTGTTACTCACTCCTGACCCTGCATGCTGTTTGTTACTCACTCCTGACCCCTGCATGCTGTGTGTTACTCACTCCTGACCCCTGCATGCTGTGTGTTACTCACTCCTGACCCCTGCCTACCTGTTTGCTGATCATCTCCTCACTAAATGAAGTCAGAAGCGACAAGCATCTCGCCACTTCCAGGTTCAGGGTTGTCATTCCCCGGCTGTTGCTGTATATTATGACATGTCAGGAATTGGATGTGACTCCTCCCCCTCCTCTCTTCTTCCTGCAGCTCCGGAGGTTCTAGGACCTGAAAAATATGACAAGTCATGTGACATGTGGTCATTGGGGGTCATCATGTACATTCTGTGAGTATAAAGATGTCTTCTGATGTATTCTGGTCATCACTGATCTGCTTCTCACACTTCATCAATTTTACTTCTGACCAACAATATGGCCAAAAGTATGTGGACCCCCCTCCAAAGTATGTGGACCCCCTCCAAAGTATGTGGACCCCCTCCAAAGTATGTGGACCCCCTCCAAAGTATGTGGACCCCCTCCAAAGTATGTGGACCCCCTCCAAAGTATGTGGACCCCCTCCAAAGCTGAGGTCTCTCTAGTTAAGGGTCCTGATAATCCTCCATACAAAGACATTGGAGACAGCTGTGCTCCTCCAACCTTGTGGTAGCAGTTGGGTGAAGACTCTTTTCTGTTCTACCGTGACTGAGCCCCCGAGTACGAAGCCAGCTCCATAAAGACATGGTGTGACCAGTTTGGTTTGGAGGAACTCAAGGTCCTCAACCTACCGAACACCTTTGGGATGCATTGGAACCCCGATTGTAACTAAGGGCTTTTTGATTGGTGCCCAATGTGGGGCCAAACATAAAAGCTACTAGAGCTACTAGAAGAGTGGAGTCAGCTCCATAAAGTCATGGTTTGACCACTTTGGTGTGGAGGAACCCGAGTGTCCTGCAGAGAGCCCTGACCTCAACCCTACTAAACACCTTTGAGGTGAATTGGAAGGCCAATTGTAAGCCCAACATGGGGCCCGACATATGAGCCAGGACTTCTCATCCATCATCAGTACCTGACCTCACAAATGGGTTTTTTGTTTGGTGCCCAATGCGGGGCCAAACATAAAAGCTACTAGAAGAGTGGGGCCCAAGATATGAGCTACTAGAAGAGTGGAGCCAACTCCATAAAGTCATGGTTTGACCAGTTTGATGTGGAGGAATTCAAATGTCCTACACAGAGCTCTGACCTCAACCCTACTGAACACCTTTGAGATGAATTGAAACCCCAATTGTAATAAAGGGCTTTTCTTTTTTAGTGCCCAACACATGGGCTACTAGAAGAGTGGAACCAGCTCCATAAGGACTTGCTTTGACCACTTTGGTGTGGAGGAACTTGAGTGTCCTGCGGAGAGCCCTGACCTCAACCCTACTGAACACCTTTGAGATTAATTGGAAGGCCAATTGTAAGCCCAACGTGGGGCCCAACATATGAGCCAGGACTTCTCATCCATCATCAGTACCTGACCTCACAAATAGGCTTTTTGTTTGGTGCCCATTGTGGGGCCAAACATAAAGGCTACTAGAGCTACTAGAAGAGTAGAGCCAACTCCATAAAGTCATGGCTTGACCAGTTTGGTGTGGAGGAACTTGAGTGTCCTACACAGAGCCCTGACCTCAACCCCACTGAACACCTTTGAGATGAACTGAAACCCCAATTGTATCGAGGGCTTTTATTTTTTGGTGCCCAACGTGGGGCCCAACACAAGAGCTACTAGAAGAGTGGAGCCAGCTCCATAAGGACTTGGTTTGACCACTTTGGTGTGGAGGAGTGTCCTGCAGAGAGTCCTGCCCTCAACCCTACGCCGTGTGTGTCCTCCTCTCTGTGGTCGCGGTATGACCATCCAGGTGGTTGTCATCGGCTGCACAAACAATTTCAGCTCCTGTCTGTGTCCCTTCTCCTCTGCAGACTGTGTGGATATCCCCCCTTCTACTCCAACACCGGCCAGGCCATCTCCCCCGGGATGAAGAAGAGGATCAGGATGGGGCAGTACGAGTTCCCAGCGCCGGAGTGGAATGATGTCTCGGAGGAAGGTACGGAAGGGTTCACAAGGGGTCAACAAAGAATCCAATCTATCGAAAGCGGAAATAACCCCGAAAGCCAACGTTTATTACGTCACATATGTGGCGGCTGCATTCGTTTTCTTTTATGTCTTTTCCTTCCTTTATTTTCATCTGGCGATCCGGCCAGCAAGTCTGTTGTTTATCAAAAGAACAAGCTCTCCTGCAGATGTAGCAGTTACAGGATTAGGACAAACCAGGGGCGGACTGACAACTCATGGGACCCCTGGGCAATAGGAGATCATGGGGCCCCTGTGTCCTTGCCCAAACTCAAAAAAAAGCCTATGATAAAGGTACCAGGGGCATCTCATGGGGCCCCCTACTGACCCCAGGCCCTCGGGCACTGCCCGAGTTTCCAAATGGTCAGTCTGCCCCAGGGACAAACCATTAAGGCTAGGTTCCCACCTATGCACTTTGCGTTTGATGCGTCTCTGCAGGGCTTTTTGCACATGCATTTTGCTTTTTTTTTTGTTCAACTTGTTGCTGGGCAGAATAAAATGCAAAATGCATCAAAAACTCATTAAAAACGCACTGCATGCTTTTCTGCAATGAAGTCTATAGAACCGAAAAACGCAATGTTTTGCATTTAAAAAAGTCCCTGACCCTTTCCAAAAAATGCACCGGGGTGAAAAAACGCAGAGATGTGAACCCGTCCCAAAGGAAATCATGTTTCATGGACCGTACTGCGTTTGTGCAAAATGCCGTGGAAAACATGCATGCAAAAACACATCCGGAACACATCTGGACTGCGCTTCTATTGTGTGACCCGGCCCTCAGGGCCAGTTCACACTCCATGCGTTTCAGTTGCTTTTCTTTCTGCATCCAAAATGCACAGAAAGTCGGCGAAAGTCGGTGGTCAGTGTCATCGTTCACATCAGCGCTTGCAGTTCCGGTGCGTTCCGGATGCAGAAAAAAAAGTAGAGCAGGCTGCATTCTTCCTGCACAAAACTGTACTGGAACGTGTTAAAACGCATCAAAAACGCACCGGAACGTACATATCCTTATTTAAACTGAAGAAAAAGACTGAAAAAAATGAACTGGAATGTGTAAAAAATGCATCCAAAGCACACCGGAACGCATCAAAACACGCATGCGTAAACGCATCTGGAATGCATCTGGACTGCGTTTCTATAGTGTGAACCGGCCCTCAGGCCCAGTTCACACTCCATGCGTTTCAGTTGCTTTTCTTTCTGCATCCAAATCGCACAGAAAGTCGGTGATCTGGTGGTCAGTGTCATAGTTCACATCAGCGCGCGCAGCTCCGGTGCGTTCCGGGTGCAGAAACAAAAGTAGAACAGGCGGCATTTTTCCTGCACTGAACTGTACTGGAACGCGGTAAAATGCATCAAAAACGCACCGGAACGCACATGTCCCTGATTAAATAAAAAAAAAATAGAGGGGGGGGGGGGGGGAATGAACTGGAATGCATAAAAAAAGCGTAAAAAATGTGCATGCAAAAACGCATCCGGAACGCATCTGGACTGCATTTCTATAGTGTGCGCCGGCACTCAGGGCCAGTTCACACTGCATGTTCAGGGGAAGCAGAATGCATAAAAACGCACTGAAACGCATCAAAAATGCACCAGAACGTGTAAATAATGCATCAAAAACGCATCCGGAACACATCTGGACTGCGTTTCTGTGCTTTCAGTGATGTCGGGCCGCATGGACGGTCGCACTTTCGGTTTACATATAAAGGAATACATTGTTACATTGTATTTGTCCCATGACACGTGCAGAGTATCTGTGAGTGTCATCCCCCTGGAGTCATGCTGTGGGAGATTTCCCCTCACTTCCTGTCTGAGATTTCCCCTCACTTCCTGTCTGAGATTTCCCCTCACTTCCTGTCTGAGATTTCCCCTCACTTCCTGTCTGAGATTTCCCCCTCACTTCCTGTCTGGTAAACCTTCAGCTGGACAGGAAGTGGCAAAAAAATCCCCGGAGAGTAAAAAAAGGGGGGAGGGGGGGGTTGGGGGGATCCAATCCTCTTCAATAAACGAACCCTTCCGCTGCCCCTCCCCCAATCTGGTCTGTTTTTTTGTGCCCCGACAGCTAAACAGATGATCCGCCATCTCCTGCGGACCGACCCGACAGAACGCATGACGATCACGCAGTTCATGAACCATTCTTGGATCAATGTGAGTACTAATCCTGGTATATCGGGACACCGGAATCTGTATGGTGGGGGAGGGGGGGGAACTGATCCCAGCCATTCTCTGCCAGTACTCGGATCCCAAGCATGGCACCACCTGCCTGGAGTTTGCATGTTCTCCCTGTGCCTGCGTGTGGTTTCTCCGGGTATTCCGGTTTCCTCCCACACTCCAAAGACATGCTGGGAGGTGAATTGGCTGCTGTCTAAATTGTCCCTAGTATGTGTATGTATGATGTGAGTTAGGGACCTTAGATTGTACGCTCCTCGGGGGCGGGGACTGATGTGAATGTACAATATATATGTAAAGCGCTGAGTACATTGATGGCGATATATACAGGTGAAACTCGGAAAATTTTAATATGGTGCAAAAGTTGCTCTCATCAGAAAAGAGGACTTTGGACCACTGAGCACCAGGCCAGGTCTGTTTTTCTTTAGCCCAGATAAGAGGCTTCTGACGTTGTTTGTTGTTCAGGAGCGGCTTGACAAGAGGAATACGACATTTGAAGCCCATGTCCAGGATCCGTCTGTGTGTGGTGGCTCTTGATGCACTGACTCCAGCCTCAGTCCACTCCTTGTGAAAGTCCTCAACACTTTTGAATGGCCTTTTCCTGACAATCCTCTCCAGGCTGCGGTCATCCCTGCTGCTTTTGCACCTTTTTCTTCCACTTTTCCCTTCCACATAATTTTCTATCAATGTGCTTTGATACAACACTTTGGGAACATCCAACTTCTTCTGCAATTCCCTTTTGAGGCTTTCCCTCCTTGTGGAGGGTGTCAGTGATGGTGTCAGGTCAGCAGTCTTTCCCATGATTGGGATTCCTACTGAACCAGACTGAGAGACCATTGAAAGGCTCAGGAACCCTTTGCAGGTGTTATGGCTGAATGAGCTGATTACAGTGGGACACTTTGAGCCGAGATTATTCCACCTTTTCACAATATTCTCATTTTCTGAGATTGTGGATTTGGGGTTTTCATGAGCTGTAAGCCATAATCATCACAATGATGACAAATCACGGCTGGAACTATCTTGCTTTGCATGGAATGAGTCTCATATATTAGTGTCACCTTTTAAGTTGCTGCACTGAAATAAATCAACTTTTGCACCAGATTCTAATTGTTCGAGTTTCACCTGTAAGTACCTGAAATAAATAATAAATAGTACATTCCTATAGGGGGAAATCTCTCACAGTGGGAGGAAGAGGGCCCCACCTACAGGCAGTGAGGTGTAAGTGCGCCTTCCATCTACTTCTCCATTAACACACCTGTGTCTTCTTCCTGTCCAGCAATCTATGGCCGTCCCCCAGACCCCCCTACACACACGGCGCGGGTCCTGCAGGAGGACAAGGAGCACTGGGATGAGGTGAAGGTGAGAGAACCGAGCTTCACACCTACTGCTGTCAGCGGACCCTCCACTCTACCTCTCCCCTCTCCTCCACTCTTCCTCTCCTCCCTCCTCCACTCTTCCTCTCCTCTCTCCTCCACTCTTCCTCTCCTCTCTCCTCCACTCTACCTCTCCTCTCTCCTCTCACTCTTCTTCTCTCTCTCCTCCACTCTTCCTCTCCCCTCTCCTCCACTCTTCCTCTCCTCTCTCCTCCACTCTTCCTCGCCTCTCTCCTCCACTCTTCCTCGCCTCTCTCCTCCACTCTTCCTCGCCTCTCTCCTCCACTCTTTCTCACCTCTCTCTCCCCCCCACCTCACCCCCCTCCCCCTCCTCTCTAATTTCCTCCTCCACTCTTCTTTCTCCTCTCTCCTCCACTCTTCTTCTCCTCTCTCCTCCACTCTTCTACTCCTCCTCTCCTCCACTCCTTCTACTCCTCTCTCCTCCACTCTTCTACTCCTCTCTCCTCCACTCTTCCTCTCCTCTCTCCTCCACTCTCTCCTCTACTCTCTCCTCCACTCTTCCTCCTCTCTTCTTCTCCTCTCTCCTCCACTCTGCCTCTCCTCCACTCTTCCTCTCCTCTCTCCTCCACTCTGCCTCTCCTCCACTCTTCCTCTCCTCTCTCCTCTACTCTTCTTCTTCTCTCTCCTCCACTCTTCCTCTCCTCTCTCCTCCACTCTTCCTCTCCTCCACTCTTCCTCTCCTCCCTCTCTTCCTCTCCTCTCTCCTCCACTCTTCCTCTCTCCTCTCTCCTCCACTCTGCCTCGCCTCTCTCCTCCACTCTGCCTCGCCTCTCTCCTCCACTCTTTCTCACCTCTCTCTCCCCCCCTCACCTCACCCCACCCCCAGCTCTCTAATTTCCTCCCCCCCCATCTCTCTAATTTACTCCTCCACTCTTCTTCTCCTCTCTCCTCCACTCTTCCTCTCCTCTCTCCTCTTTCCTCCACTCTTTCTCACCTCTCTCTCCTCTTTCTCTCCCCCCCACCTCACCCCCCCCCCATCTCTCTAATTTCTTCTCCTCCACTCTTCCTCTCCTCTCTCCTCCACTCTTCCTCTCCTCTACTCTTCCTCTCCACTCTACCTCTCCTCTCTCTTCTCTCCTCCACTCTGCCTCGCCTCTCTCCTCTCCCCTCTTCCTCTCCTCTCTCCTCCACTCTTTCTCACCTCTCTCCCCCCCCACCTCACCCCACCCCCATCTCTCTAATTTCCTCTCCTCTGTCCTCAGGAGGAGATGACGAGCGCTCTGGCCACGATGAGAGTTGATTATGACCAAGTGAAGATCAAAGATCTCAACTCGTCCACCAACAGACTACTCAACAAGCGGCGCAAGAAACAGTCGGACGGCTCCGCCCCTCCCGCGGGTTGTAACAACCAATGAAGACTGTACATGGAGCAGAGAGCTCCGCAGGGGCGTGTCCTGTGCCACTCAGACCTGTTGTGTTCTTTTTCTGATCGTTCTGTTTCTCTGTAGTATAATTCCGGCATCCTGCTGTGTGTACATACATATACGTATTTATGGAGCCAAGCCGCGTCTGCGCCTCCTCACTCGTCGCCGACATTCTGCATATGGCTGCAGATCCCATTTAAAGATCCCGGAATGGAAATATTTTTCCTGCGTTTATGTAAAAGAATGAATCATTTCAGGAGAGAATCTGCGAAGATGACACATTGTAGCCTTGGGAGAAGTCCAGATTCCTGCGACTCCATATGAGAACAGCCGCCAGCTTTTATATTGTCGCCTTCTTCTGCCTAAGCCCGGGTTCACTCTGATGTGGTGCAGCATATCGCATGCAATTCGCACAAGATCCATGCCGCATTCCCTGCACATCGCAAGCGATTCGCACAGGATCCGCGCCGCATTCCCTGCACATCACATGTGATTCGCACAGGATCTGCGCCGCATTCCCTGCACATCACATGCGATTAGCACAGGATCCGCGCCGCATTCCCTGCACATCACATGCGATTCACACAGGACCCGCGCCACATTCCCTGCACATCGCATGCGATTCGCACAGGATCCGTACCGCATTCCCTGCACATTGCATGTGATTCGCATAGGATCCGCGCCGCATTCCCTGCACATCACATGCGATTCGCACAGGATCCGCGCCTCTTTCCCTGCACATCACATGCGATTCGCATAAGATCCGCACCGCATTCACTGCACATTGCATGCGATTTGCACAGGATCTGTGCCGCATTCACTGCAGATCGCATGCGATTCGCACAGGATCTGCGCCGCATTCCCTGCACATCACATGCGATTCACACAGGATCCATGCCGCATTACCTGCACATCACATGCGATTCACACAGGATCCATGCCGCATTACCTGCACATCACATGCGATTCACACAGGATCCATGCCGCATTCCTCACATCACATGCGATTCACACAGGATGCGCGCCGCATTCCCTGCACATCACATGCGGTTCACACAGGATCCATGCCGCATTCCCTGCACATTGCATGCGATTTCTGTGCGCTGCGATTTGAGCCGTACATTTTGTATGGCTCAGATCACACCGCATAGTGCAGGACCCTTTTTTGTCCGCACCAGAATTGGATCACACGGGTTCACACGTGTTGAGAAACTGATTTCGGGGTGTCGTTAACACACACCCGCAGCGCTTCACATGAACGGGGTGCGATCGTAACGCGTTGCAAAAAACAGCTGCAAATTCCGCATCAGTGTGAACGCGGCCTAACCGCGCAGACGCCATATGCCCGGGCCTTTAAATAGGGTGAACCACCTTTTTCTGTTCTGGGCGTAAAAAGTGCACCTGTCACAGGAGCAGTACAGGGGCTGCCCCTCCTTCCAGGGGGAGATTTCACCAAACTTCCTGTCCCTGTGACCCCCAGTGTCCCCATTATCGCCCAGACAGATGGTAATAATAACCTGAATGGGATACAGACCCTCCCCCAGTTTATAGAGAATCGAGTGTCCCCATAGGAGAGATTTCCCTTCATTGCCCCTCTCAACAGGAAGTGAAAACATTTTCTGCAGTGGGGACACTCACCTATTAAAAGCTATCAGGGCTTCTAACCCTCCCCCACCCTGCCCAACACACAAACAAAAAATTTGTTTTTATTATTATTATTATTATTATACAGGATTTATGGCGCCAACAGTGTGCTCAGCGCTTTACAATATAACGGGAGACAACACAGCAACAATACAGTTCAATACAAGAGGGATAGGAGGGCCCTGATCCTGGGAGCTTACAATCTAAGAGGGATAGGAGGGCCCTGATCCTGGGAGCTGACAATCTAAGATGGATAGGAGGGCCCTGATCCCGGGAGCTGACAATCTAGGAGGGATAGGAGGGCCCTGATCCCGGGAGCTTACAATCTAAGAGGGATAGGAGGGCCCTGATCCTGGGAGCTTACAATCTAAGAAGGATAGGAGGGCCTGATCCTGGGAGCTGACAATCTAAGAGGGATAGGAGGGCCCTGATCCCGGGAGCTGACAATCTAAGAGGGATAGGAGGGCCTGATCCTGGGAGCTGACAATCTAAGAGGGATAGGAGGGCCTGATCCTGGGAGCTGATAATCTAAGAGGGATAGGAGGGCCTGATCCTGGGAGCTGACAATCTAAGAGGGATAGGAGGGCCCTGATCCTGGGAGCTGACAATCTAAGAGGGATAGGAGGGCCCTGATCCTGGGAGCTTACAATCTAAGAGGGATAGGAGGGCCCTGATCCTGGGAGCTTTTAGCTGAAGTTAAAGTGTCATTGAACCCCCAACAGTCCAATCAGTCTGTAGATGCAGCAAAGCATGCTGGGTATACTCACTGTGGGACCTAAGGGGTTAATCCTCTGCATTGTGTAAAAAGGCTGTTTGATCCTGTCTTCTCTGATCCTCCCCTTGTTCAATCGACCACCTCTTATCTCCTGATAAGACAGACTAAACCGTAGGCATTTTGCACATGCTCAGTTTGGTGTGAATTGCTAGAGAGGTTTTTTTTTTTCTTGGGAGAGTGCATGTGATCAGCACAGGGCCAATCAGCACTGTCCAGACAGAGGTCAGGGGCCCTGCATCCTCCAAGAGCAGAAAGAAAACTCCTACAAGCCTTAGCTCGTGGTCAGCAGGACACTGATAGAAGTCACAAGACTGCTCTATACTGCTGATGAGAAAAGGTATTTAGCAGTTTATATTTACTAAAATAATTGCATTTCCGTGTACTGTGGGAGACCAGATATAGTGAATGCGGGGTCCGAGGAGAGCGGATATAGTGAATGCGGGGTCCGGGGAGAGCGGATATAGTGAATGCGGGGTCCGGGGAGACCGGATATAGTGAATGCGGGGGTCCGGGGAGAGCGGATTAGTGAATGCGGGGTCCGGGGAGAGCGGGATATAGTGAATGCGGGGTCCGGGGAGAGCGGATATAGTGAATGCGGGGTCCGGGGAGAGCGGATATAGTGAATGCGGGGTCCGGGGAGAGCGGATATAGTGAATGCGGGGTCCGGGGAGACCGGATATAGTGAATGCGGGGTCCGGGGAGAGCGGATTAGTGAATGCGGGGTCCGGGGGAGAGCGGATATAGTGAATGCGGGGTCCGGGGAGACCGGATATAGTGAATGCGGGGTCCGGGGAGAGCCGATATAGTGAATGCGGGGTCCGGGGAGAGCGGATATAGTGAATGCGGGGTCCGGGAGAGCGGATATAGTGAATGCGGGGTCCGGGGAGGGCGGATATAGTGAATGCGGGGTCCGGGGAGGGCGGATATAGTGAATGCGGGGTCCGGGGAGGGCGGATACAGTGAATGCGGGGTCCGGGGACGGCGGATACAGTGAATGCGGGGTCCGGGGAGGGCGGATACAGTGAATGCGGGGTCCGGGAGAGCGGATATAGTGAATGCGGGGTCTGGGGAGAGCGGATATAGTGAATGCGGGGTCCGAGGAGAGCGGATATAGTGAATGCGGGGTCCGGGGAGAGCGGATAAAGTGAATGCGGGGTCCGGGGAGAGCGGATATAGTGAATGCGGGGTCCGGGAGAGCGGATATAGTGAATGCGGGGTCCGGGGAGAGCGGATATATAGTGAATGCGGGGTCCGGGGAGAGCGGATATAGTGAATGCGGGGTCCGGGAGAGCGGATATAGTGAATGCGGGGTCCGGGGAGAGCGGATATAGTGAATGCGGGGTCCGGGGAGAGCGGATAAAGTGAATGCGGGGTCCGGGGAGAGCGGATATAGTGAATGCGGCGGGGTCCGGGGAGAGCGGATATAGTGAATGCGGGGTCCAGGGAGAGCGGATACAGTGAATGCGGGGTCCGGGGAGAGCGGTTGTAGTGAATGCGGGGTCCAGGGAGAGCGGATATAGTGAATTCAGAACAGCTGCGACTGTGATTGGTGGTGGTGGGGAAGTTTCTTGACAATTCAATACATTGAGCTTCCTGTAGGAGGCAGTATGGAGCATCCAGTGGGTGTGGCTGAGAATTACATTCCTGTATCAAAAGCAGGCAAAGAAAGCGGTTCTCAGATCACCAGCAGAATGGAGTGGTGGGGGATGGGGCACTACAGCAGGGACAAGATGACACACTCACCCCTGAGCAGGTCGGCTGGGCTCCCTGTACGCAGTACCAGGACAGGGTCGTCCGGCACCCAGGTCAAGGATCCAGGATTGCACCCCCTCCTCCACTGTTATATATACTGTAGAGTGAGTGTATCACCCCACACCCCGCTTGTCTGCACCCGGGGCAGCTGCCCCTTCTGCCCACCCCCTGAATGTATGTGTCCCAGCGCTGGTCACAGGTCACAGCCTCTCTACTGGAAGAGATCCATGGAATCCGACCAATCACAGTCACTTCTCCACCATAAATCAACTGCCATAACCAGGGGCGGACTGACAACTCATGGGGCCCCCGGGCAATAGGGGATCATGGGGCCCCTGTGTCCTTGCACAAACTCAAAAAAGCCTATGAAAAAGGTACCAGGGGCATCTCATGGGGCCCCCTACGGACCCCGGGCCCTCGGGCAGTGCCCGAGTTTCCAAATGGTCAGTCCGCCCCTGGCCATAACCCATCCCAGTGTACAAAATACAGATTTGAAGCAATGCAGTGTGATGTCTCTGCAGTCTGTCCGTCAGCCATTAGGGGGCACCATTGGTCAATGCATTTTTATTTTCTCTGGTGGATTCTGGAAATGTTATTTTTATTATATATTTATTATTATTATTTTATTGTTATTATTTTTATGCATTATTATTTTATTATTATTTTTTTTTTATATTTATTTTTATTATTATTATTTATATTTATTATTATTGATTTATTTATTTTATTATTTATTTATTATTATTATTTTATTATTATTGATTTATTTATTATTATTATTATTATTATTATTATTTTATTGTTATTATTTTTATGCATT